CATGTCTCATCGGCGAACTAAATGATAATTCAACATATTTATTCACACACAGTGTATTATGGCGAATAACGACCCCTCGTTCGTCCTTCCAGCACGCCGGTTGTTGAAAAATTTGTGTGCTGCCACCAAGGATTTTCCTCCAACTCTATTCCTGGAATTGGATTCTGTAGACACAAAACGACCGATTGGTCGAGGAGGGTTTGCAGACATTTTTCCTGGGAGATACAAAGGACAAGATATTGCTCTGAAGAGATTGCAAGTGTATCAATCGGAGCTGAACGAGGTGTCAAAATTTTCAAAAGTATGCCTTACTCCATTTCGTTACTTTCGGTCCAAGCTCAGTGAATCTACAGAGCCTGTTGCAGGAAGTCCTCACATGGGTCCATCTTAAACATGATTACATTCTACCATTTTTTGGTCTCGATGAGAAAACCTTTGAAGGTTATCCGCCTTGCATTGTAACACCGTATATGCGCAATGGTGCCATGAACAACTTTGTAAAAGTTCGGAATGAGACCCTTCCCGACAAGCGGGTTGACAAACTTGTGAGTAGCATCTCATGATTGTACTTGACCGTCACTGATGCACGACTTAGCTCTTCGAAACTGCGCAAGGTTTGACTTACCTACACTCGCAAAATATTGTCCATGGCGACCTACGTGGAGTGAAATTGAATTTTATGTTGAGCTAAGATTGACTTCTGACCCACGTACTTTGCAGGGGAATGTTCTGATAGACGACGAGGAACATGCTCGACTAGCCGACTTCGGACTGGCAATTGTGACTGACGCTACCCTTGGCACGACTTCAACTGCACGAAGCGGTTCGGTGAGGTGGATGGCACCGGAGCTGCTCAACTTTGAGCTCGAGTTCAAACGTACAAAAGCCAGCGATGTTTATGCCTTTGCGTGTCTGTGCATAGAGGTTATATTCCTGACTGTCTTGGTGCTCTTCAGCTAATTCTACCTGAACAGATATACACGGGCGACCAGCCATTCTGGAACATTCATCACGACATTACGGTAGCACTTGAGGTTCTGAAACAAATGCGCCCTCCTCGACCTTCAAGTTCAGGCCCACCTGATGGAACTCGGGCAATGTCCGACAGGCTATGGGTTACTGTCGAAGCTTGCTGGGCGCATAAACCTTCGGATCGTCCCGATATGTACGAAGTATCAGGACACATAATGTCGCCTGATTCGTCGGGCAGATGTGCGGACATACGTGCTGATTGATATCCAGCATTCTTTGCTTTTATGTTTTTGTGTAGCAGAGATAAATTTTAAATATGAAGACGGTACTTATATGGAGAAGTATTGTGAATCGGAGAAATTTTAAGTGTTTCGTAGTGATGAGTTGAAGTACACACCTTCGGGCGATATCAGGGGTGTGTTGGATTGAAATTGACCCAGCCCGTCGCCGCCGCCCTGAAAAGGTGGAGCAGCACGACGACGATGCGAGGTGTCGGCGTGCAGGACGATATCTGGAAACGTGTTTCTCTGCGATAGATGTGTAGTTCGCTTGGTAGAGTGGCGGTGTCTCGGTAGACGCCAATTGATTGATCTCCATAGGCTTCCACCATCTACGGTAGACATCGCAGTCTACCATAGCGGCTCTCGTCTATATTACCCATGGTAGGATCTCATGTACCATGCATATGATCTACAGAACCTTGTAAGCAAGCACCCATAAATATCGGACTTGGGGATCTTGAAATCATTGGTGATGACTCTTTCTTCCCCCTTCGCGCATCCATCTCCCTCTCACAACAGTGTGTCCTACCGACCCACTCCAGTATATCCGAGTCAAGCTCAAGCTACTCCTTATCAAGCTCAATATACAATCCCTTGCCTCTTAGCTCCAATGTTCTTCAAGTTGTTTGCTGTTCTCTCCAACGGGTTTTAAGCCCTCGAACTCAAAGGCTCTCCATCCTCAAGCCTCAAGATCCAAACTGTTTCCACTCCAAGCTGTCCAAGGCTCAAGGCTGAAAATTTCCGGCTACTCACTCGACCTCAAGCGCGTAATATCCGTTGGACCATCACAAGGTCCATCGTCAACATGCCTGATCTCTATCCTTCACTAGTCTCTCGTAGACAGATACTCTATATGTTCCAACTCGTACCTCGTTATAGAGAAATCCTTCACGGCTCCATTCTATTACTTAGTCTGCATATTTGTCGAAGATTCACTTCTTTCCAGAACTCATTGTGCCAACGTGGATCACGATCTCTGATGATTTGCCGGGGAAGCCCGTATTTTGAAAAGACATGTGTAAAGAGCAATTGCGCCGTTTCTTCCTCATTTATTCCTGTTCGGCATGGGATAAATATCCCGTACTTTGTTGTAAAAAAAGGGAAAGCAAAGCAGAACGCGAATCCAATCAAGTGATGTTCGGAGACAAAGCCTCAGAGGCTGGCTATATGCGCCATTACAGATGCGCAATAAACAAAAGAGACCCTCGACGAGATCAATGAACGATATATGCGCGATTTCCACATCTCGAGCTCGCGGCAACGGACACAGAGGAGCAAAAGAAGAAACCGAAAGTAAGAAAGGCATACGCATCACAACCCCACAAACGCTGCGACCGCGCTCGCATCCGCGTCGCCGACGGACGCGTATTTGGTTTCTGGGCTGCAAAACAAACGAGGATGAGCATGGGATAGGGTTCGAGAAGGGGATAAAAAAAGATAAAGGGGAGGGGGCTGGAAACATGAAAAGAGAAGAGACACGAGACATAACAGAAAAAAAGCGAGGCGAGAAAAAAAAATCGAGAAAGGGGGCAAGATCCTGCATCCAGCAGACGGCCAGTGCGGCCCCGGCCCCGAGACCCTAGTTGATGAAGATTCGCAGAAAAGAAAACCCCAACTCCAACCGCGAAATGGTTTCGGTTTTTTCTGTTTCTATTCCCGGACCACGCAAAACTTGAATCCAGCAAGCCGCGATACGTGCGGAGCCGAGCCAACGCCGATAACCCCGAATACACAAAATGAAGCAATGAAGGCTCCCAGCAGGGGAAGAGAAGGGTGTGCGGAATAGAAGGGTGTCAATGAGAGCGACGCGTGTCACATGAAAAATGACGCGTGACGGATGCGGACATGGATGAGGGCCGTGGGGGCGAAAGAGGCGGGGAGACGGGGAGAGGGGGAGGAAGGCAAAGACAGTAGAATATGGTACGAGAAAGAAAGAAAAAGGGAAGAACAAAAGAAAGAGAGGGCGAGGGAAACGAGAGAGCAGAGACGCAATTCGCGAACGTACTTTGCGACGAGCTCGCGCAGGGGCTTGCCTGAGTCAATGAGCGAGCCGATGCGGTTGGCGGTAGGGCTCCAACCCGTGCCCGTCGTCGACGGGTCGACGGACGGGAACAGCCGGGTCGGCACCCGTCCGTTTGGATCTTGGAGCCTTCCTCCGCCGGGACGGGAACGGGACGGGTCCGCCCCGTTGATGGGTACCCGTACCCGTCCCGTTCGACGGGTTCGACGGGTCCTTCTCGGCATCTTCTGGTGTTCTTGCCGAGCAGCCTGTGCCGAGCAGCGTATCCTGCCTACCATCACTTTATCAACTGATCTATCGACATGTGCAGTACAGCATAATGGTCAGCCTTGGATCAGACCAACCAGTGCGTGGGGACCGGCAATTGGCAGGCCATCAATGTCCACTTGTACATGTTTGGTCCCACACTTACGCCTGTCAAACGAGCGGCAAAACAACTTTGCAGCAATTTCAAGTGGCCACAACACCCAGCATACAAAACTTAAGAAGCCAAAAGGTTAATTGTATATTATACAGTGTGTATTCCAATTACACAGATGTTCTACAATTATTTGATGCCATAAATTCTGAGCACCCGTTGAAACGGCCGTTACGGCCGGGACGGGTTGGACCCATCCGTTTTGGTCTCTCGTACATGGTAGAAATGGACGGGCCGACACGTCCCGTGATGCCCAACAGCCGTTGTTTGTGACGGCCGTCCCGTTTGACGGACGGGTTGGAGCCCTAATTGGCGGTAAAGATGTCCGGCGCGGCCTCGCGCAGGATATGGTGCGTCGCAAGCAGACAGAGGATGTGTGCTGCCGCCAAAAGAAAGAATTTGTATCAGAGAGGAAGGGACAGGAAAAGGACGAGCACCCCACCAAGCTTTGCCTGCTCGACACCCGTCCGCACAGCAATCTCACGGACATGCACAGGCCCGTCGCGCAGGACCTCGACCAACGTGCACGGCCTCGAGGACATGCAGGCAGCTGGGGAGGTGGTATCCCATGCCCGCGTCGCAGAGCGTCAGAAACGGCACCTGCACCGTCGTGGCCATCTGCCCCGCCGCCACAATGATGCGGTTGATGGCTGCCACCACCGTCGGGTGCACTGTGAGCTGCTCTGCCGCCGAGGCAGGGTTGTACGGCGCGTCCAGAGAGGGAAAGTCGGGGGTCGAGTCGGAGTTGGGAGGAGCAGAGGTAGAGTACGACAAGGGCGACAGGGGCGGGCTTGCGTAGACGCGCGAAAAAGAATTGGCCTTCTTGTGTGTCGGGGGCAGGTCGGCGGCAGCGTAGATGGCCTCCATGTCGGTGAGGGCATCGCCGAGGATGGCGTGCAGGGTGCAGAGGACGGCAAAGGTCATGGCAGCGCGCAAGACACCCGACAGAGCCAGCAATAATTATGGTAAATAATTGAATTTTGGTTGTCAAAAGAATCGATCGACACGACACGTCTTCTTATCATGTTTTCGTGTCTTGGTCTGTGTTCTTCCACCTCCAATCGCCCGATACGCCCTGCGGCAACGAATAACCCAGAATGAGACATTTTCTGAGGAGAAGACGAGGGACATATTTGCGTATGTTGAACATATCCTTTACTGACACCGCCACCGCTCTCCCTTTCACTTTACCTCTCAGTGCCGTCCTCGAGGCCCAATTCCGACGCTGGCAGCGTCCTTGAATGATCCATGACAGTGGTTGATAAACCTTCTTCCTTAGGTGAAAAAAAGCTACAACAGCAGTGCTTTATGGTTCGGATCTGGTTCGAACAGGCATCTTCTGCTCAGAGTCATTGCACCAATTGTACACATCAGAGACAGACGTGGACCATCCACCACCGAACCATTCCTGTCCCAATTGCAATCTGAATATGTCTTACAAGCAGTTCAATGAACCAAAAAAGCATTACCCACTGTGTAATGGCTCGGGCCTGAATCGAACAGGCTTCTTCTGCTCAGTGAAGCAAGCAATAGCCAACAAAGACAGATGTGGACCATCCACCACCGAACCTTTACTATCCCGATTTCATCCTCAATATAGGCTGCAGTTCGAGCAGTCCGATCGTCCAAAAGATCCACAACTATTGACCAGTGACTCAAGGCTTCTTCTGCCTGCACGGAATGCAGCAAAATAGGCGAAACAGATGTGCACCTGGTCGTCTCAACTTCAGCATGGATACATCCCAGTTTGTGTTCAATAGAGTGTTTGCGGTGGAGCCACCCGGCGCCACCAGGTGGCTCATCCGGCATGCGGTGCTGGGTGGCTAATGTGATCTAGTGGCTGTTTAGGAACCCACCGACCATGGTATATATGAACATGTATCAAGTGTGTATACCTTAGTGAATACCATTTCTCCCTCTACCTATGCAAAAGGCCATTCTTGAGCCCAGAGTTCATCACGGTTGCTCTCAGAGTTTGGAGAAGGGCTTGGGGAGGTAGTTTCTGGCACTCTGCCGGTGCTCGCATGTATACAGGAACACATTTGTATAGACATAGTGGATGTACGATGTCAAACAATCAATTCTTTCCATGTTATTCAAACAGCCACCAAGTGATGTAGCCACCCGGCACCGCATGCCGGATGAGCCACCCGGTGACGCCGGGTGGCTCCACCGCAAACGCTCTAATATTCTTTTTTTTAATCGTCGCAGCTTGCAGGACTGCCTCAGACCTGATTCGAACAGGTTCTTCCCGTGCGAAGGAGAATCTTCTGAAGCAACCAGAAACAGATGTGAGCCATCGGCCACCGAGCCTTTCCGGACTGGAGAATATACCTCACTTTGAGTAGTTTAGCAGCCAAAATATTCCGAATTCTGGATGGTGCATGGCTCCGGCTTGATATCAAGCAAGCACCTTCTGTTTAATCCCAATGGTCGGGCTAGCAGCAATAACTTGAAATGTGAATCATCCACCACCAACCCGCTCCGGATCCACGCTTCATTTCAGGCTCGCACACCGTGATAAAACAAAGCATGTTCGAACCCGCCCAAAAAATTTTCTCTCGACGTTATTGGACATGGCTCAGGCCTGACTTGAACATCACCGCTGAACCTTCCATAGCTGAATTTCAACCTGAATACCCCTTGCAGTTTGATTCTGTTCAACGACCAAAGAGCTGGATAGTACCTATAGCATGGCTCAGGCCTGATTCGAACAGACTTCTTCTGCTTAATGGAACGAACACGTAAGCTATCATACCAAATACAAACGTGGATCATCCACCACTGAACCTTTCCTTTCCCAATTTCAACCTGGATGTATACTGCAGTTCTAAGCAGTCCGATTATCCAAAAAATTCAGCCATTGGTAACTGACTCGGATTTGAAAATTGATTCAAATATACTTTTTTTTGCTTCAATGGAAGGGTATGCAGCAAAATAGGCGAAGCAGATGTGGACAATCCAGTCCCCGGTACCATCTCAATTTCAACACGAATAAGTACACCCCGGTTTGTGTCCAAAAAAAAATGTTATGTCATCCAGTAATGGCTCAGACCTGATTCGAACAGGCTCTTTCCATGCAGCGGCGAATATAAACCAACCAGAAACAGAAGTCATTGGCCACTGAGCCTTTCCGTGCTTGACGCCTTCCTGATAATACCTCACTAGGCCTCACTTGGAAGTTGGAGCAGTTCAGCGGCCAAAATATTATGGGTTCTGAACTCTTCGTGGCTCCATCACTAAGCCATTCCGCCTTTCATTTCAGCACAAATATAGGCTCGCACAGTGACAAAGTATGTTCGAAGTGCCAAAAAAATGCTTGTTCCTGCTTCCGTATGGCTCAGGCCTGATTCGAACAGGCATCTTCTGCTTAATGGAATAACGATGAACGCCGTGATAAGTACCAAAGACAGACGTGGAAAATCCATCACCGAGCCTTTCCCCTCTTGTCCTCAGCTGGAGCATCCTTAGTCAGTTCAATAGCTCGATTTTTTTTCGAGGAATCCATCAATAGGCTCCCGAGGTCTGACAGATTTTTTTTCCGTTGAATAAGTACTGTAACGGAATATCACAGCAGATGTTGACTATCCACCAAGCCTTTTTTGTCGCAATTTCAATCTGGACATATGCTGCAGTTCTGAGCAGCTCGGTAGCCCAAAAAATATGTTCCGTGGTTATAGCTCAGGCCTGACTCGAACAGGCTTCTTCTGCCCAACAGTCAAGATGTACACGATGCTGAAGACAGACGTGGATCATCCACTACTAAGCCTTTTCTGTATTTCAACCTCGATGTATGTTGCAGTTTTCAATGGCCTGAAAAGAAAAAGGGAGTTTTCGGCTAACTTGAGTCAGGAATGGTTTAGGCCTGATTCAAACGGGCTTCTTCCGCTGAATGCCAAACATGTGAACTGATATCAGAAACAGACGCGGACCACCCGCCACTGGGCCTTTCTTCCCCGGATCTCAGCTTGAATACCCCCACCATCTTGCGCCATCCGTGAGATTCAATTCACGGCTTGAATTAAAGCCAGAGGTACGTAGTACTACAATATCAGGAAAGAATTGAGGGAAAGGTTGAGAACTGATGCCAGTGAAATTAGAGAGCTTGAACCCAAGTGGCATGCCGCTTTTTCTTTTTTTCCCTCTAAAGGGCATTAACAAGGTGTAATAGCATCAGGGCATGTGAATTTGAGGTGCACATAAAAGTTGTAAAAAAAGCGGCATACCGCTTTTGCACAACCTAAAAGCGGCATGGTGCTTGGGCTCAAGCTCTCTATTCTCTGAGTCGGATGGATTTCTTTTGTTTCACTGCAACTAGAACACTAGGGAGGCAAAGGTAGTGAATTATGTCACTGTATCTCCTCATGATCAGCACATAATTTGGATAGAAATGAACAAAAATCCGCAAGGAATATTTTATGTAGTTGGTTTCAACATCTGAAGGCGGAGAAAAAAAATAGAGGTGAGGGCGTGGAAAACTGCTGTAGTTGAAAGCTGTCCATGACGTTTTTGCCTTACAGTGTATTGCCTTTTGATCTCTTCCTGGGACATTATATATACACACGCTGCTCGTCATTTTCTTTCTTCGTGCTTTGTCTATCAATATTCTCTTGAGTACAAGCCTTGTTATATTTTTCCTATTTTTGCCTCGCCCACTATTTTCCCTATTACATTTTGTATTTTCTGTGCACTGTGGAAGTGCCTTCCGGCTCACTCGTCGCTCATGCAGTTGTGTATGATGCCCACGAGTTCCTCATTGGGCATTATCAGCCATTTATATTCTACTTACCTCCTGTTCCACCATAATTTCCCTATCGCACAGGTACCCCATTGGCACCGACGCATTCCTGCCTCATACACAATGAATCCCGACATCTACAACTTTCAACCATGCATCAAGTGGTCACCTGACCGCGTTGGTTTTCATTGTGCTTCGTTCTTACACGCCGTTCATTGGATTAGAAGGATAGACTGGATTGTATGGACTTTATCACCCCTCTAGTACATTACTCATCTCGTCTCTATTTTTCCTTCCCTCCCCTCTGTACCTTGGCCAGCTTCTGTGAAGCATGGCTCTGGTGTCCCTACCTTCTCGGCTCGCACTTGGGATTGACACGTCCGTGGGCTGGTCACCCTCTGGACAGGTGCTGAGGCGGCAGCATTGTCTCCCTATACCATCTTTGCGTGTGTCCTGGTTGGTGTTACACTGGAGTTGTGTCAACAGTTGGTATGGTATTTATCTCGAGCTTTTTATGCTCATGGACATTTTATTTACATTTCATTCATGTATTGGACGGTTGCGCAGGGCTCTGGTGACGCGAGAGCACGTGTGACGACCATCCTGATCATGTATTTAAGATCGAGACATGGATGAAACAGGGCCTTCCTTCTTGCTTTCTTTCTTCCATCTCCCTCAGGTCTCCTTCGAGTTAGGACATCCTGAGGCATCTTATATCAAGTCTTCGAGCGCCTAGAGTACAGGCAGGAGTTCAATAAGCTGAGTAAACATTTCCATTTATCATATCCCTATCTACTGTACTGCTGCAGCGTTGTGAAGTACGACCTATCCTCGACCTCAGTCCACCATTGGACTATCTGTTACTTCGACAGCACATACACTTTGTACTGAAAAAAGTACTTGCCTTTGCCGGCTTGAGCTTGGCCAGTTTCACGGGAGGATTCGATTTGGTGGGCAGTACATATACACTTCTTCACTAGTACTTTCTCCTGTCTTCCTCGAGACTTGAAAAGCAAACCCAAATGCAACTTTGTTCGAAGATTAAATTATTTGAGATTTGATGCAGCCGAAGGCTGCAGCGCGTTGTTGATGCTAAGTGTCGGTCGAACCCGAATTTATTGATGGATTGATACCAGCCGATGCCACGGCACAGCGGCTGAGCGCGGCAGGGAGGAAGCAGACTGGGATATTTTTAACTTGAAGGCTTGTACGATGTCCAGATGATAATCTATCTCCGAAAAGACATCGGCCTTGGTGCCATCGTCAAGTCATCGTGCCGTTGACAAGATCAAAACCTAAGTGGTTGGCGGGAATTGCTCTACTCGCGCAGTGGAACACATTGAGACCCAGGTACAACGATAAATGTCTCCAACTTGAAATCTGAAACTCGCTCTAGTTTCTCTCCTTTCTCCCCCCTTTTTCCCCTTTTTGCAACTTGAATTTTTCAATCTCTCTCGAGTCTCCTGATATAGTACATGAGCCACAAGGCTTGCGTGGCGTTATATAACGTGGGCCACCATGCAGCGTGTTCAACAGGCGACACAAATGCCGTTCCAGATTTCCAAATCTGGGTCACAGCTCGTGCTGCTACCGCATGTTTTGCGTAACATCTTTAGAGTCAAAATTTCAGAAGTCAGCCACTGGCTGCGACTTTGCATCCTGATCGAATCAGCTCGAAAGCTTTGTAAAAGCTGCCATCCTCGTCCAAGTGCTCTTTGCCTTGTTTCACATCTTCCTTTAGACTGGTGGGATCCAGATAAGGAAACACTGTACATGCCGCAAGTCCCGCAACCATGAGTTAGCGAGACCAAGGCGGCCGTCAAGCGTCATTGGCTTGTATCAGAAGAGCGTTGACACCACGACCGTTGATTTGAACCGAATACCAAGCTAAGCGCCGGCGAACTGACGCGTTCAGGGATATTAGCACCATTATAGAAGTTTCGATAGCTGCGCTGAGCGGAGAACCGGTATACGTACGTTGAGGTCATTGGGAAAGGCGCACTTTTTCATTGCAGTCAAATTGACCTCTATCAGCAGAGTCGTACTGTGCTCAACACGACCGAAGAACCTAAAAAAAGCACCGAAGGTAGAGCCAAGGGCCTGGGAATGGATAGTGTGACTATAGCTGCTAAGGTACAGTGCTAATTTATCCATCTCAATCGTTGGAAGGATTCAGCGACTATCATTTCGCCTGTACCGATTTTATGATTATACCGAGCATCGTCCGGCGCGCATGGTTTGCCTTGATATTTACGTCCGCACCTACGGCAGGCGAGGTACGTCGCTGCATCGACTTGGGGTGTCTATTCATAGGAGACTGACTGATCCACATCTCAGGCTCTTAGAGTTTGCTCTAGGCATTTAACTGATTGTACAGCATAATGGGCAATAAGGAATGGCCCCAGAAAAATGAGTGGCTGCATACACAACCCATGCACATGTCCGGATTCAGACGGTCCAGCTCTATTTACGCCATGGAGAAACTATAATTTTGAAGTATCCCCAGAGGCTGAGCTTATCGAATTGCATTTGCCCGGTTAGTCGTTGTGGTTCTCGGAGTACCCACGCTCAGTTTCCGCCGTCGCGAAATCTCGACGATTTCGCTTCTGCTCGCTTCCTGCGAGCCTGATCCAATGGATCTAATGTCTGTGTAACGATCCGCCTCCGTCGTATAAGAAAGTTCCGCGGGGCGATATCAAGGCTGCCACCTTGCTCTCTGCTTTCCTTGTGCTCCTTCCCTTGAAACAAACGTTCTGCAACATCCCCTATCTCCCATCTTCAAAATGCTCCCCAAGTTCCTGGCATGTGGCCTCGCCGCTCTGGCCCTCGTTCGTGCTACCCCCTTCCAAGTGAACATCGCGGTGGTAAGAGTCCACCCTACTCGTTCTTTTCTCCGATTCACTGAGTGTATCTCCAGTTTTTTGATACCGCCGTCACCGCCGGCATCGAGGCGGGGAATTATTGTATCGTCAACATTGGACGGAACGAAACGCTCTCTGGCGTGGGGAAGGGGCAGCCCGCGTACACGGAGAGCACACCTGGCATGCCTGGGCCTCTAGCGCAGGTTAGCTGTTCTTTGTTCGCTGCGCTTGGTGGTCGCTAATTGGATTCCCAGTGGAAAGTCGAACCCGCCGTAGGGTCCAATGAGTTCAAGTTCTTCAATATCGGCTTAAACTCCAGCACGTCGACCAACAACGGCGTACGTACCGGCACAGCCTGCGTGAAACGCAAATGATTTCTGACGCATGCTGAAGCAACTCTACGTGTCGTACGGCCCGGGCGATCTATCGTTGACTCACGCCGTCACACCGGTGCAAGGAAAGGCAGACACTTTCACCGTGCGTACACTCTCTTTCCCCCTTGTTTTCCTTTTTCTTTTTATTTCCCTCGGGAGCCGGAAGTCCTTATTCAATCCACCAAGATCACCCGGATCCTATACGGCGGCGCATGGACTACTTACTGGGACAGTTACTACAAGCGCACCCAGGTCTGATCTTTCCTTTCCCGTATCACCGAAATGCAAGGCTGATGCGGGGCTCCGACGGTCGTAGGTCTCGTTCACAAAGAATACGGGAAGTCCGGAACAGTTGTGGAAGTTCATACGTATTGATTGAATAGTGACGGGGACCAATGCAAAGTCGTTGGGGCTATTCAATTATCTGGTCTGTTTCTGGGCTTGTTGAATCGAATACTATTAGA